AACGCTAATTTCATATGTAAGTACCTAATACTTTTATATACATATACCAACCACATACCTACCTTCATTTCGAAAAACTATCAATATTACTAAAGATAGTTATTATTGTAATATATTAAACTGTTATTAATTTACTCAATAAAAAGCAGCGGAATAAAAATGGTACCATATAAATTTATATGACTACAATTTACCATTTCATTTCATTATTTATTATGTTGATCGGAAGCGTACTTTTACGTCATTTTTACGTCCCCATACTATCATTTAGATAAAACAGCTGACTCTCATTTCCTAAACGACAGCCGTCGGCATTTTCATACTTATGTTTGAATTTTGATTCCCTGCGCATTAATATTTTACCTTAATGTTTACATGAAAGTATTTTAGATTTGTGTTAGGCGAGCATTTAAAACGTTACGTACGCATAATTTGTAAAATACACCACATAATAGAGTAACATGTAACGTCATGCGCGGGTCGAGGGAAATGAAGTGGAATCTTTCAGATAACGCACACATCATCACGCTTATGTTCATATATGTTTTACTACACACACAAAGGTACGTTGTACATAGCTCTTGTAGGGTTGAGTTCACAATTTAATGTAGGTGACATCAATAATTTGTCTTAATGGCACGTAAGTGTTCAATAGAATGTGTATAGATACAAGCTAGGGGTTGATGAGATGTGACATGGCCTAGAAATGACATTGTTGTTTATACTTGATATGATTTTAATACAACGTTCTATACTTGTACTATATTATTCAGAATTAGTTTATGGCGCACAAAAATACATCAAAATAGTTGTTAGAATGTTAAATATGTAGTAACACTAACATTTTTTAACAATGTTATTGTACATCCGTTATCTGTGTGGAATTAAGAATAAAAAGTGTCAACACCCCTGTACATAACGTGGGTGTCGTAACAACCGACTAAGCGAGCAAACTACTCAGGACAACAGCAATGCGAATAGAAAGAGAACTTGATACTTGAACTAACTACGAAGTACTGACTTATATTACTGCACAAGAGTATATAGGTCAGTATTAAAAACTGTAATAAATAAATATATTTCATTACAAAGAGTCATCATCATCATCAACAGCTATTACTAGTCCACTGCTGGACATAGACCTCTTCATAGAAAGGAGGTTGCCCAGACGGGTATAGACAAACTCTATACCCGTCTGGGCAACGTGGTATATTAGGCCAAAACCTCTTTTCTAAGGAGAGGTAGACTATTTTCCAGCAGTAGACTATTAAATACTGTTGATGTGATTGTACATGAGATTGTAAAAAATCATAAGTAGTTCCAGAATTCTGAGTAGATTAGACACATCAAAAGTGCCGGCGATCGTGTGCAACGGATCCGACATACCGATTAGTCCATTTGTCAAAGACCTTGGCTTATGGATTGACTCAAGCCTCACTTGGCAACCGCAGGTTGTGAACGTAAGTCAAAAAGTTACTGGAACCTTGCGATCACTGTATCGGCTAAGGAACTTCCTTTCACATACTTTCCAGTTAACGCTTGAACAGGCTTTGATCTTGGCAATTATCGATTATGGTGATGTATGCTACCTCGACCTGATTGCAGATCTACAGGAAGTGTAAAAATAATAATAAAAAAAGACAATACACGAGACACTGCAAATAAAAAAAGATTTTTTTCTATCTAGGTTTAACAAATTATGTCAATCAGTACTACTTAATATCCAGAAAACATCTGTTTGCATAGGGATAGCTGATTTGATTGACGATTCGCCAAATATTGTGGTATTACTTTCCAATAAGAAAATAAACATGAATACATTAATAGGAAAAATTGGCTAAGTCTTTTTCAACAACTAATTTATCAACCCACATATAAGGAGATGCATTCCATCCATCACACATTGTGTCTAAGTTTCGGTGCCGCTATTATTTCTATAGAGATTATATTCTGGGGTTTCGTTTCGCTATTATTTCTACGGATCCCTGTACGAGATAAGCTCGAACGCGTATTATGATACGCTATCAATCTTACCGACGCTACTTCTCGCAATGATCCAGTCAGTTGGGCTCGTGGGTTCTATAGAAAATACTACTTTTAATTATATGTATTGTGTATGTGTTTTTTTAGAAGAATATGACTAATATTAATTCTTCGAATAATAAGAACGCTTTGACCAGAACGAAGATAGGCACGCAAATGACGGGTGACCGATATCTAAAAGTAAGAACTCTCAAGAAACTTGTTCTATACCAGGATGACATCATCAAAATTAAAGGTATTTGGTATTTATAATATTTCGATGTAAAAACTAAAGTTGTTTTTTAGCCCCACTTTTACACATTCTAAATCGATCCTAGTTTGAGGCCACCACGTATAATCGTTAAATTACTTATTTTGTTAAGTATTGAAAGATCTTAGCAGAAACCTATGCAAGAGAGTTAACGGACCGTATGTGAAAGAATATATTTTTGACTTTCCCATACGTTTGTTTTTTTTTCTAAAGAAACATGTCTTTAGAACAAAAGAAACTTTGGAGTACACAAGTTTCAATACATGGAACAGAAATAGTTTCAAACTTTAGAGAAGTGTTTATTAACAAAGTCTTCACAATGTTTATCTACTGTAAACAAAAGACATCTAGACAAAAAGAAATAAAAATTTATCACAAGCAAAACACCCCATAAAACTGAATTGTCTCGAGAACTTTATAAACGCGATAACGACCGAAGTTGTTCCAAGCTTTGTTTCTCCGCTTACATAAACACGACCAGATAATCATGATCTACCATGATCCACGCTATGTTGAAACTGCACCATGCAAGACTACTTTAGACGAAGTGTCGGAGCTCTTGTTAGATTGGACGTCGCTTGTCTAGATACCCAGCGAGACTACAAAAAAGAGGATTTCAAGGAGTATCCGTCTCAAGCCCCGCCTACTCCGCGACACGCCCACAAAGATCCTCTTCTAAAAGGACCAGAGTGAGACATTTCTTCAGTTTCAATATAATGTTAATAAAGCTGTGTGCACGCATAGCACACGATGGTCTATGTGTGCAGTGTTTCACATAAGAGACCAGACTAGCCAGATTCACACACACCAACACAAACTCCTAGAAAGCAAGTTGCCAGTGTGATTATATATAGGATATTCTCTTACGCACACAAATAAATGGGTATATTAACTGGGTTATATAAATATATAGGGGTAAATGGATACAAACGATGGAGGTCAAATCGGGCTCACGATCAATAACGTGACTTTTGGAGCTAGACATGTTTGTTGTTGATGTTATTTGCTTTAATACAGGGTTCAATCATTAAAGACTTAAAATATTTGTTTAAATCTATTTAATTTAGTGAAAATAGCTATCCTTTATGTACTAATTTTATTATATGCATCTTTCGCTTTGATTATTTCGAAAAATGACATTTATTATTGATTAATGATATTCAAAGAATTTTAAATGCAACATTTTAATAATATTTTGCATTAAGCAAAGTAGGCACTGAGCGGCAATCTATAAACTGAACTGAACCACACAATATGTACTCACATAATATATTTACACTGGATCGCACATTAGCACATTAAAAATAGTCAAAAATCAGTTAAAAGCAAAAGGTAAATAATATAAAATCTACAGGATACGATATTAATTTTACAAAACATTTATGACATTACTAGCTATTGCCGGCGGCTTCGCTCCGTGTATGTCGGTTATTGCGGTAAAAAAAGGAGTCTTCGTTACACGCTGAAAATGTAGATTTCTTTTGGTAGAAGAATTTTTAAAATCAAGTTTAAGCGTGAAAGCGTAGCAAACAAAAAGACTTTCACATCTATAATATAAGTTTAGGAGTATGAATTAACACTATTTTTAATAACTATTATTTGTAGATATTATAAAACTACATGTATTGTATCGCATTGAAGTCGTATTTTAAATGATTTAATTTCAAAAAGGTGCTTTTCAAAGACTTCCTTAAAAAACTTAAAGATGCTTTTTTATTTAATTGATAACAAAGGTTTACTCGTTTTGTTATCTTTATCCATACTTAAATACCTCCATACAGTTTATATTATAAATGTAAAGGTGAGTTTGTTTGTTTGTTACGCTTTCGCGCTTAAACCACTAAACCGATTTGAAAAATTCTTTCACCAATGGAAAGCTACATTATGAGGTATTAACCGACATACACGCGAGAGCCGCTGGTAAAAGCTAGTTCTTACATAAAAATAAAAAGTTAAAGTCAAATGAAGGAATCAAATGAGAGTGTATGTTACTTTTTTTAATATAATTATACTAATATTTCATAAAGGTTACTGAAATTGAAATATATTGGCATATTGTAAAATGCAATATACTTTGTTTGCTTACGAAAATCACTAAGACTGGGCAAAAACTTAACAGAAGACTTCATCTAGGCACACTAATAAAACCTCTGTGCCACCAATAATTATTGGGCTTTTTGGATGGTCACATCTTTTTCTATAAACGGTAATTTGTACAATCTCACTTATAATACATACATTTGATATCCTACTGTGTTAGTTACCACTGGTTAACGATAATCAATTACTTATTACACACAATTATACAATTAGTTTATAGAACCTGCAACCTAATAGGTATCAAATTCAAACAAAAAAACAAAAATCAATTGATTGGATCAGTTTCATCAGTCTGTTGTTGAGAGCAGTCAAATATGAAGAAAAGATAAAGTTAAATAATGAAAAAAACACTATTTAAGTACTCGTACTATTTTATTTTATGTTTCTAAACTATACACATAAATAAGTTAGTGTGTTGGTCACAAAGGTTAATATACTAAGATTAATTACAATTAATGACCATATTTTCGTATTTAATTACATTACATCAAAAAATTTGAGAACGAATACAATCAGAATAATACATTGTCCTTGTTCCATGTTTTTGTATTAAAAATGTTAAGAAATATTTTCTCTTACTTATCCATAAGTAAGTTTGTGATAACCGTTAAAAAATACACCAAACGTCATGGTGTCCGGAAACGGATCCTCGTTTAATTTTTAATTCGGTCGCCGGGCGACGCGGCGCTGTCGTCGTCGTCTTCCTGCCGTCGCTTCCGGTTGTGAGCGTTTCTTTTTTTAAAGGTTGTATTTCCGTTTTTGTGCAGAAGCCGATGTCACGCGGCATTGGACAAGACTAAAACGTTTTTATAATGGTTTTGTTGTAATCGATCATAGAACATAAACCATCTAATGCCGATTACGGCATATTCGGATTCGATTTTTGTTCGTTTTGTTTGTTTCGTTAATTAAGAAAAATAATTCTACATATTATGAGGATTATCTCTGATTACTAGCGGTATTATCAATATAACTATAGAAACAAGTTGACCTAGACAGATGAAGCTTTCATATTGTTTTATAATACATTTTTTATTAGATAGACCCCAGATCAGACCAATTAATTTATATCACTTTGGTAAACAAAAATGCTTTAAATCTAAATTACCATCTAAAATTCGATTAATCCATCATACAGATTTTTTATTATTATCACGGTTGAGATAACACAAAGCCTTTCTATTTCTTTCCTGGAGAGCTAAATTTTTTGCACTGGATGAAAAGGCCGTATCTACCGGATATTATCATTAATTATGAATCAGGAGGTTTCACGGCAGTCAACGTTCTGACGTTTATAAATTGTGCGAGACAACTTCCGACCCATCGAGATTTTTAATTTATGAATTGCATTTTTTATACTTTTATCTATCATCTGAGAAATGTTATTCTCTTTATTTTTTCATCTAAAATCCTCATATTTTATTTAAGTTATCTAAAATATTTATTTTGTTACATAGATTTAAGTTTAGCTTTTATTATCGGAATCACACAATTTAAATTTGATATAATAAAAAAATAAGTGTGATCGTATTGCCACCACTTACAAATAAACAGTCAGTGACAAAAAGTGAGTTAAAATCTCCTTAATCACCACGAAACATTATTTTAGCTATACATTTTTATTGTAACTTAATCATAAATATTGCTTGCATTGTTATAGTGTATATTTATTAAATAATTTATATATTTATATTTATTAAATTATTTAATAATTTTGAAGTCGAAACTATTAATTTATATAGGATTTCAATTACTACATAATAATATGTTGAAACATAAGCCATAAATTTCAAAAGGCCTAGTGGTCTTTATATTGAAATTTATATGAAAGAACTAGTAAACTAAAAGACAGTTTAAATTAAATAAACTGATTTTACGGGAGATTTTATTCTACTTATTGCGAACGAAATCCTAAAGAATACAGAAAAATATTGGGATATCACAAACACAAATTACTACCTACCCTTAAGCGATTGATCTCTTTCGCGGCACGTAAATCAAAGTAGCAAAGACAAGGGCCGGCTAATGTCCACCAGGGGCCAGTTGGTGGGCGGACAATGGATGGCTTAGTCCACTGCGGCCGCGGGATGTATGGCGCTATCCCTCCGGGAGAGTACACACCTGGCTGAACATCGTAAATCTTCAGGTAACCTCTGCAAGGAGGTAACATTAATTAGAATACTATGTTGTAGGTTTTGTTGTAAGGTAAGCGAGTATTTTATTGATTTTTTTTTCTATATACCTCTGAATATATTTTTTGGACCTGTTGGATTGTGTATATATTATATTTTGAAGTACTCTTATTTTTTTTAGTAGATTCTTGTAATATATGTATATATCACGTGTACCAAGCATATTGACCGAAATGTTCTAAGAAACATCAAGAATTTGAAAGCTTAATTCTCGGGTTCTCACAAGATTGTCATCCTACAATCTATCGTGGGCTTTTGTCTCAAGTAGCGAGCATGATGTATGTGCATCGTGGTCCCCTGGGTGCTCTTCGTGTTTAGCTACGGCTCTTCAAGATTTATGCCCGGGATTCTGTTGTCCACTTCAAACAAACACGACGTTAAACTGTAAAATGAGGCAGTTGTATAGTAAATGATCAAATCATAATTTACATTGTAACGAAACCCAAACTAGATAATCTAGTTATACAAGTACTTTTAATATAAAAGAAAACAGAACTTATTTATTACTTCACATTGCTATGCAAAAATGTAACTAGTTTTCAAAATTTAAGTTATAAAAAAATCTCAAATTGCACAAAAAAATGAATGTACACCTTGAATAATTATTACCATCTAAAGAAAGATCACAAGAAAAAATATTAAACAGGAGTTTATTTTGATTGTAAACAAAAGTTCTTCATAGTCTTGCGAAGATATTTAAGCCTGTCTATACTAATAAACCGTTGTGGTATACTGTTATCTTTCCTTATGCTTTGAGAATTTTATGGCTGAAGGTTGATATTTTAATGATGTTACTGGAGTTCAAACATCATTTACTGAAGAATTTTACAAACAAAAAACAAATCTTACTTTAAGGCATTATAATACAGTCAATGTTCCTAAACTATGTAATGAAATATGAAACGTATTTAAAAGACTTTCAAAAGTAATCTTCAGTATGCTACTGTAAACACGCACATTTGATTCCCTCTCAACAGAACTACCGACAAACAAATGTTCAATGAGATGTGATCATTTATATCCGTGATCGAGCTCATTAGTTGCACAGTGTACAGTCGGCACAAAAGTTGTGATCGTATAAATCGCGCCAACACTTGCTGGTTCCCATCGAAATGATTAATAGGCGCTTCTGGGCCATCTACTTCAATAATAGATTGGGATATTATTGGAGTATCTTCATAGCGTGTGGTGGTTATTTCCTTTTTTTTATTACAACTTAATCTGTTTGATCATTTTAATCTACAAAAACACTATTATCTTTTGATAATAAGAAGTTACTTACACTTTAGAAGAATTAAATGTTTTGTACGGATTATATAAATATTCAACTTGATAATTACATAACTTTTTAATAAATATGTTTCTATTTTCTTAAAAGAAACGTTATCCCAAAAATATTTTTTATGTAAGTAATAAAGTTTAATCTCCAACAATGATAGGCTTCGAATCTAAACTGACTGAGTACTTAACCGGAAGACAGAGCGTAGGTAGGGCCCCATACAAGGTGGTCCGACGACCTGGTAAAAGTCGCGGGAAGCCGTTGGATGCGGGCAGCACAGGACGGGTTGTTGTCGATTGCCTTGGGCTCTCCCAAGGCCTATGTCCACCAGAGGGAGTCTGTGGGCTGAAATGATGATGATGAAGTTCTAAAGTCAGTATTAAGTATCTACTTATTGTACGTACACAATAAACTGCTATAATATAATGGAGCAAGACAGAGGCGTATTAAACGACCACATTTTGCTGACCATAATTTTTATCCCACTTACAAAATAGGGGAATAGGGGCATATTGCCGTCATCGGGGCACATATCATCACACATCAACAGCCTTTAATAGTCCACTACTGGACATAGGCCTCTCCTTAGGGCACATATATTTCTTAATAAATATTATATTTTAGTTAAATATTTCTATCTATGAATGAATGAAAAAATAATAATGTTTTGTTAGGGTACAGATTTTTGGATTGTACCTATATTTTTGATCATTCAGTAGTTTATCAAAAATAGATATATTAAATAAACTAAATAATTGAAATCTATCAGAAGTCAGTTTACTATAAAAAAATTAATACTTATTTCTTTCAAATATAACGAATAATTAAATTAAAAAAATTGATTGTAAGCGTTAATATATTGTTACTATGATAATACTTGGAATTATTTAAAGCTGTTACATAAAATATTGTCCGATAACGTGAATTACATTTATAGTTAATCTGGTAATTATTGTATAATGGGTACGCAAATGGCCCGTTGCGTTCCGGATGCTGGTTTACCGTAACGTATCGTCGTATCGACATTATCGTCCAGTGAATACCTATAAATAAATATGGCGGCAAAAATGGCGCCCGTTTATCAGCCAGCGGAAGTGGACACTGGGGACCGGAAGCCGAGTAATAAATGTTATTAGATAGCCCCTGGGCTTAGTTGGGCCGGGATTATATGTGTTTTTTTCGTACTTCATTCGTCTGACGGTTTTTGTTAATGTGTCTGGCTTTAAAATAAATTGCTTGGGACAATTATGTAGAGTTGGTTACGTATAACCAAATAAGAGTTTATATTTACTGTTTTCTGAAGGATATCAGTTTACAGATATTAATATGATCCACTATAGTAAGGTTTTTCCCAAACAAGAACATAGGAGCCAGGAGTATCTAGGATTTTCACTAAAACTATCAACCAAGCACTCAGAACAATAGTCCTTACATAGTAGCTTTAGCAAAGTAACTTTATATATCTGAACTAAAAGAAGGATTTTGAAACAACTTCTTATATGTATATTAAGTTTTTATTTAAGTGTAAAAAAAACGTTTTAAAAACAAAATCGTCTAAAAATTACATGGATTATGTAGGCTATGCATGCATTTTTTACAATAAATATACTTAGTCGGAAGGCGGATTGCTAGTAATAAAAATATATTAGATAAAAATATTTCTAGCTGCTATCAATTAATTTCTAATTTCAATAAATAAAAAAAAAACAAACAAAGGACCAACAAATAAAAACAGCTCACGTACAAATAGTGAATATTTGATCGATACTTCTGACTGTCAAAAGCATCGGCAAACGATGCGCGTCGGTATTTACCAGCGACTAGGTGCAGCCAGCTACAAATTGGCAGATGCTACCGTTTTAAATCCATTTTTATTCCCGTTTAACCTTCCTCCATTACCATAAAGTTGCATTTCCTTTGGCTAAATCATGATTGAGTTGGATTAGGTCAAACGTTCGATTTGATTTCACCATGATCGGGTTGTAACAGTTGCTTACACGGTTTATAGCATTTAGCACTTTTTGGAATAGTCTTTTAAATAATTTGCTTTTCATACTTGCAATAAACAAAAAAGTCATGCATAATTAAATAAATAAATAATAAATTTATTTCCAAAACAATTATACATAGAAATTTACAGTACATGTTAGTTACAGGTCAATTTTAGTCGTCGGTAATATCGAAATATCCATGTTCAATCAGTGGAAAACCCTGCCTTTTAAACTAGGTGACACCTGTATCTTCAAAGACAGTGTTCGGCCATACATTTATACAATATTAGATAAAACTTTTCTAATTTAGAGCAGTTGTGAATGCTTTGTGTATTTATTACATATAAGATTAAGCTGTTATGCATGATATATGGTACTTTGACATATGGTATATGAATGAGTGTGTGTGTGCGTTTGCTTGTGCACGCGCGTGTGTGTATGCATGAGTGTGTGCGTGCTTGTGTGTGTGTGTGTGCGTGCGCGCTCGTGGGTGAAAGTATTTGTGTTTAATTTGTAGTTTTATGCGATGTAAGTAAGCAATGACTCTGTACTGAAGTAGTCTTGTTTAGTAGCCATTCAGTCAAGACGAGCTTTAATGTGTGTATGTTCATTTCGAGTATATTAAGTTCTTTGTGTATTTTTTTGTAAATGTGCGTGCTTAGTACATAATAGTGGTGCTTTGCAAACGAAGTCCTATGTTGTGTGCCCAGCGGTAAGTTCCTTCTTTTGTTTTTATTTGGCAGGGGAATACTGCTATGTTTCCTTAGAGAACATCGAAGCACAAAGAGTTGTCGAACGGTAAGTACCTTACAATCAGCATAGAGTTGTGAAGTTGAGTATCTGAAAGGCCTCCTAGTCATTACCTTCAACACCGCTCGCTGCGCTCTCTCCACTCCAAGAAAGAGTGTCTTATTAGCACCGCCCCATGCATTGATGCAGTACCCGATGATAGATTGGCACATTGGATTGGGTAATAAACCATCTTAAGAGTGTTAAGATCGGCCGAGTCTCGGAGTGACTTGAACGTACAAATGAGACGCATCGTTCTATATGTGAGCGTGTTGATTTGCTTATCCCATTTTAATTCATCATCCAAATGTACTCCCAAGTACTTTATAGAGTTTGTTCTGGTTAATGGAAGACATAAACATGATGATGTGGGTTTTTGCATGCGTGAGCCGTTAAAGAAAAGGTGGCTGGCGGTTTAGTAGCGTTTCTTAGCGCGAAAGGTATGTATACTGTTTTTGTCAAATTTAGGGTCAATAAGTTCTCATTTAACCAACTCATGACGTCTTTCAGAGCTTTTTCCGCCTTTATTTTTATGTCCTGCCAATTATCTATTTAACCTATTGTACAAAGGTTAAACTATTTTATTTATATCTAGGCATTGTCTTAATACATTACCTATCTGCTACACTATGATTAAAATGTTTTATGTAAAAAAAAGGTACATCTACCCAGGATCATCTGACATAAACACATTTGTTAATTTAGAGAAGTCAAGAGAAAAAAAAAGAGCGTAACAAAGTAGGTACCCACTTAGTTTGCCCTGCGAAACTTAGAAGTCATTAAAATAAAATTAAGAAAAAAGGTAACTAGGGTTGTGTGTCTCTAAATTCTGTAAAAATTCTCTAAAATAAAGTGTCATTTTAATATTAAAATAACAGGAGACTAACACCCGTAGCAGCTACGGCGTAGCGCCGTAGCTGAGGCTTATAGCACGGCCGATAGTCGATAGTGTCAATACTGGCAAGCCTCCAGCCATGAACTTGGTTATAGCCATCTATTTACATATGAATTCGATAGCGGACACTCTGATAGCGGACAATGAATAAAATATCGTACCCATATTGTCAATAGCGCGGGCCGGAATTTTTTTCACATTATTCAGAAACAGGATACTCAAATATAATATTAAATTGCTTTTAGTTGAGTATTTAAGTTGAAGTGTGTATTTTAAATTTATAAATAACACCTTCTATTGGTATATCCTATTTTAATGGGGGTACATAAAATAAGATAAAAATAATTTCGTTTGCACGGTCACATTAAATTGCGAAAACATCTGAATATACGATTTTAATAATAAAAATTACATGTCATTTATTCAGTCTAATTTTTACGTGTGCATGTACAAGATGAAAAGCGATATCCAATGTTGATGTTACCAGTTGCTAAAATGTAATATTTTTTTAAGCTGGTGTTCTTCCAAAATAACCACTCATATCCAAAAACTAAAGTGGACCCAAATCAAATATTCACACTTCAATGCCCAAGACCCTAAGCTCGTTAGGTCCGCCACTAATTACACCCACATTTCTGTAGCTTAAAATTTCAAATTGCAACCCTTTTATTTAGCGCTGTCCCTTTCTAGCACACTTAAAACAATGCCAACTGTTGCGAACGGAGGCTGGTGTGCGTATGTGAGTGTGTGTGCGTGGGTAAACACCGGTTTAAGCCTAACTGGCCTTAATGAATCGTAATGGCCCCTATAATTCGCGGCGTAACTAACTGGCCATGTGGGGACGTCCTCGTCCACCGCCCACCTCACCTCCTCTCAGCCCAGTATTTGGAAGCGAGCCATATCGCATCTATGACAGCCGCGGTTCTCTTTTTTTAAATTTTAGGGCGTCAGGGTTTGGCGCTACAATTTGCGGCTACGTGTTTAGATTGCAACGCCAAAATATTGTCGAAATTTGTTGGAATTTTTATTCTGATCGCATGGTTAGTTTGATATTAGCGTTGTTCTATCTACTTTTAATATAAATGCTAAAAATGTCTCGAATCGTTTGATGCTGTTGAAATGTCACAACAAACATGAAGTATTTTTTGAAAAACTATTTCAACGTTTAATTCTTTGGTTTGACAATTTTAGTTCTAGAGTACTTATTTTGACACCAAGCCGGTCAACACCAAAGTCTCAACATATATTTATTTCGAAATTGTATTCAAAGTATGAAATAATAGATATCTAAACTCTAACGTGTACTTCATTTCAAAAGTATCATTTAGAGGGTATATGCATGTAATAATATAAAGAGTAGTATTATAAGTTTTATTTGGAAGGTGAATAAATATCTTTAGTTTTATATTTTCAAAAATTCTATCAAATTATTGTTTTTTCATAAAATTCTCCGCTACACTAAAACTATTTTCTATGTTGTATTTTAAAAATGCTAAATGGAAATTTAAAGCACTGTTAAACTGTAAAATTACACACTAAAACGTCTCTTAAACCATAAAGCACTACAGCCTATAAACTAAATAGCTAAATAAGCCACCGCCATGTGTCACTAACTGCACTCTCGACGTGTCTCATTAACTGGAACATCATGTTACTGAGCACTTGTAATATACAAGGACTTAAATTAATCGTTTATTGTTAATTACGACTTAGTACAGTGGACGCCATTTAACTTGTCCACAAGATGCCACATTTTACAATTTTTTAATGTTATGAAATATTGTTCGACATTTTCGTCTAGGTCCACTAACATAAGAATGGGAATGATTATAAATAAGTAAAGATTATAAAACCAAGGAAAAACTTTTATTATTTTGACACTTACTTACTATTCGTAGTCATCCTAGACTTGTGATTAGGCAAGGGTAAGTTATAGGATAGAACTTACCAGAAGGCCGGATGACGTAGTGGTTTGTGCAACGGACTGCTATGCCAAAGGTCGATTCCTGCTCAAGTCAAACATTTCTGTGCATGAACATTTAATGTTGGATTTGTTCTGTGTATTATTAAGTACAAAAAATGTAAATATGAATTTATATCATTTGTCTAGTGCCCATAATAAATAATAATAAATAAATTGTATTATATATATCAGTTATTATTTTATTTTACCATCTAAGCGTAAAGCAAACAGTTCATGGTAAACTTTGAAATATGATTGCAGAAAAGATTACAACTTTATTGAGGCTTTAAACGAGATAACTGATATGCATTATGCAAGCGCTAACGTTTACGTCGTTAAAATAGTAATAAACATTAGTGTAAAATGGATGCCATTTCTTTATGTGTTGTTAGTATCCACCACTTTTTAAATATTTGCCTGAACACCGTTCAAACTTTCTAGCTCTTTTGTCGCTTTTAAAAACCAAAGGCGTATTTTTTGTAATAGGTAAACGTATTGTCTCTTAACCGGCCACGGCTGCTTTGCAATTTACCTGTCTTGGTCGAAATTTTTACTATAAGTTAAAACTAGTGGAGTTATCAGCCAAAAAAAAAAAGCAAAAGCACTGCGACTTCGGGGCGGCATTGGTGTAATAAACCTCTCACTGCAGACCATAGTTTTGTATAGGGTATAAAAGGTAAAATGTTTCAGACTCTGCTGATTATAAACGTAGAATGCCCGAGGGTAAAGGCTTACCGTAACACTAACGAAAGTAAGTCCGAGATGGTAATGTGGCAATTCTCTTGCACTCTTTAAACAAATAAATATCAAAGCTCACCGCACGCAACGTTGAAACAGCCTACTAATTAAGAGGCGACCAAACCTGCTGACTTTCTCTGGGGCATCTCACCACAATATAATTAAGTAAACATGATGTTTGTTCTTAAAAATGTACTTGAAAATATAATCATGTTCGAAACACCGAAGAATTGTTATTACTTTGTAGCAAATAACAGTTATTTCTGCTGGTAGCGATACAGTTCTGTCCACCCGGTTATCTGATGATGCATTATGAAATAAAATGTGAGTTAAGACTCAAGTTTGCACAATAAATAATTGTTTCCAGAGACGTAATTGCCGTAATTTCATGAATAATTACCACCACAGAGCAATTAAATAAATTACAGAAGGAATAACGAGCTCCTTCGGGCTTTAGTTTAAAGTTGGGGAGCGGATGTTCCATTTTACGTAAAAGTCTCTTACTTTAAGTCCATATTACGTTCACATCCTACAGAAAGTAAAGACCACCAAGAAATCAGACTACTACTCAAGAGGACCTTCAAATAATAATAAGTA